CTTTACAACGTTTATTTTCCATCTGCTACTCCCACTCTCAAAAGTCATACGTGTCTAGACTATTATTAACGTTATTTGTAATAGTTTCAGTCTTCCCTTTTTTGTTGTAAAAAAACCGTATTGTATCCTCCTGAACCGAAGTTGAATCCTGTGGGATTATATGTTGTTAACTTCGCCTTGGTATCTGTGATTTCCAGCGCGTTTGTCTCGTATTATGGCTGAGCAATTGATATACTGTTTGATCAAATACCTTGAGACATGATCATTATGCTTCCTTACCACCAAAAAAGTGCCAAACAAACCTTGCCGTTCCAAAACCCTTCTCGTGAGGTCGCAAGTCCTTGTCAGTCTATGTTTGCTGAACAGGGAACTAGTGGATAACTTCCATTTTTTCATAAGCCTATCTTATTTCGAATCTGGATATGGCTATAGATCACTAGACTTAAGTGATCTATAGTGATTCGTCAACCAGAAAGAAATCCTTCCAAGGTCGGTAACTCGACCTTTGGAATTAAATGACTTTGTTTTGTGAGGCTCTATATTCATCTCACAAAAGAGCCTCACAGCTTTGTGGCGACTCTTCGGTAGCTTTAGAAGCACCATATCCAGCTGACTCCATAATTTTGCATCATCTTACTCAAAGATAAATCACGCTGCTTAGAACTTAATGTTTATCGACTGACAAAGCAATTCATTACACCAACAACGCACAAAAAGGTCTCAAGCATAGCAAACAATTTTTTGGATATTGAGGCGCTATTGATTGGGGTCCAGAGAGGAGGGCAACAGCGCACAAATAACGTGATCAAGCAGCACACAGGCATTTGGATAATGATTAAAAAACATAAGGGTTTTCGGAGAGGGCCTAATACTCTTTGTAGATACAAGGACAAGCCTGGAGCGCAAACAACTAAAGATAATTTTTGTAATTGGGACGATCAATTTGAAACACTAGCCGAACAAAGGTCCAATTCCCCACCAAGCCTACATCAACTTATTCTTCATCATCAAAGCGGGCATTCCATCGCGTCCAATAGTGGTGAGTAGTGTAGCCAGCGTGCGCAATGAGAGGTTGCAACAAGTTCCGAGTCATAACACGAGCCGCCAGCAAAAGGAGATATTCAGCCTTATCGTTTTCGAAAAGCCATTGACCCTCGCGTTTCAAACAAGCCTTAGTGCAATGAAAACCATTTTCAATGGGATTCATATCCGGTGAGTAAGCTGGCAAGTACACGACCAGAATGCCGGCTCGTCGACAGAGTTCTAGAATTCTTCCTCCGTGGTGTACTCTTGCATTGTCCATGATTAGGACGGAGTTGCGAGCCGGATAGCGGTTCATAACTGGAAGCTAGGGAAAAAAACAAGGAAACAGGACGAAATAGAGACATGGTGTAATGAGCAATCTGGCCAATGAAAGCCATGCTGAAAGGCCCACTTACCAAGTCGTGTTTGAGAAACAATTCCACGTCAATCCGACGAACTGGGCCTTCGATGACGGTCCCAGCAATCATGCCTTGTTCGCTAACCGCCGGGAGTAATGTCCAATGGGAGCGCTCGGTTTGTCTCTTCTCGCGCACCGTTTGAGATCCGCGCTTAGCATAGCTACGCTTTCGGGATGCGTCGCGGCCAACGAACCCGCTTTCATCTGCAGAATCAGAAGTGTCAGTGAACAGAGTAACACCCCAATCAGAAGTCGAGAGATTGATAGGCCAGCACGCACCAATGAACACCAGGCACTCAGGTGGAATACCTGCCACCCGCATCATGAAATCAGTCCTTTCCTCAAGGGACTGATTAGGATGCACCCCTCGAGTGACCAATAATGACAAGCCTAATCGAATATGCAGTTCACGAGTGATGGTAGCGCGGGATACGTCCAAACCGGTCTGATTCTTGAGGTCTTTTTGCAGCTCGTCCAAGTAAATCGAGGGCCGATCAACCACCAGATAAAAAAGTGTTGCAAGATGGGCGTTTGATAGGGAACGGGGTCGACCGAGTGCCTCGTAAGTCGCCGGGTTGACAATGACCCGGTTTGTGAGCAAGAATAATCGTTTCCAACGATAGAGCGAAACCGCGGATATCGAGGTTCGTAAGCGCGCATTGATATCAGCAAGTGGCATGTTCTCCATCGCCATATGACCGCGAGGAGCTTAATGGCTCAGCGTA